GTGTTTTTCACATGATAGCTTTGATGAATTTAGTCGAATCAGAATATGCTGTTTCWCTTCCATGTTGCTTGCAGGTAAATAATGTTCTAAGTCTAGAACCCTGGAATGACATATGGCATAACAGAGTTTTAAGTAGTTTCAAAGGGGACCTTCTGCATCCAAAACGAGACCACACTAGTAAATGAAACTATTCTCTAAGATCATACTTTGCTTGTGGTAAGCATGAGAGAAAAGACCATAGCTTTTTCAGATATCCACAAGTAGAAAAGGAAGGAGAACAGGACTTCACTGTACTGTTTGACAGGACAGAATTTAGTCATTTTAGCACAGCTGATTGTTTTTCATAGAGTGTAACCCTGTTGTGACTGAAATATGTGTTAAGTCTTGATAGACTCTTATCAGATAAAGAGGGATTTGTTTGCTTCCTAGGCTGTTGTGTTCTGCACCTTACTAATATTAGGTAACAGATCTGTCCTTAACGAACACCATCAGCACCAAGTATGACCTTGTGCTGGATGAAGATGTAGAAGAGTCTCACACAAGTCAGTTACACTTGGCTAAAAAACAAAAGAAGAAAAAGCACTACCACTCTGAGGAAGAGGATGATGACAAGAGGACCAAAAAATCCAAGGTACTTTCCTCTCCATGCATCAACTTTATACCTATTCATTGTTTTCCTCATGAAAGAAGCCAGGAAAAACAAGTCTGATATTAAATAAGGACATGGCATGCAAAATCCTATGTAAAATACAGCAGTTGTAAACCTACAGAAGGCTGATGTTAATATTTGATTATGAAACAGGCTTTCCAAAACCTCCCAGACTTTTGAAGCTTGGCATGTCTAGATGGCTTTTTGCCAAAACATCCTGAAGGGACAATATAGCTTCTCATAAAGTAGGTGACCTTCTGCACTTTGAACCTGTTGTACATGTATTCCCAGTCATAAACTAGTGGTTAATCATATTTCATGACTGTAGACTATTTCTTATTTTCTTGCCAGACCATCGTATGTTGGATTTTTCCTATATGGAGTCAGGAACTGAATCTCTTTACGTTATCTTTTCGTATTTGTCCTTAACTGTTTTGGAAGTGTTTGTGTAAAATTTTCATGGGTTCACTTGCATTCTGTATTGCGCGAGTATATGGTGCTGTGAGGCGGGGGCTGTGGAGGCCAGCATCAGGAGACAGTAGTTCTGWCATTCATTAGTTCACCTGCAGCCTGTCAGGACAGCATTCCCACATTTCTGTGAACTTGAGATAGTCAAGACATGGTGTTTTGTGAAAACAAAGCCTGCAGTGAGAAAGTGGAGGGTTAACCATCACTGGAGCATGAGCGTCAAGAAGAATTGAGCCAAGCTGATAAAGTACAAAACCAAGCCCCAGTGTTTTAACAGTGCTAGCTTTATGAGTGGGATCAAAGGTGTCTTCTAGCAACTTTGCAGTAAGTGAAAAGGTTTCAGCCATAGTACATAAGGCCATTGACCCATGCTGAGTTTTGAGTACTGTTGTAAGCTCTATGTACACAAAGCATACATGATTCTGTTCTTATACATCTCTTCTTGCTCTGATGCTTAAAAATAATTTTTCTCATGAACATCAGCATTTAAAATCTTCCAGTGTCACCAGTGAGCCCTATTGCTCATTCATGGACGCAGTCTTTTTGTCACTGTACTATTCAGTCAGGGCCCTTTGAGTGGAGGGGAGGAACTTGTTCAGATCAGTAAAGTCTTGACTGGAGCAGTGTGACCTAATGTTCGTTTAGACTTCCTGCTGTCTTTTTGGCTGATTGAAATTGTTGCTTTAGCCTTTTTGAGACAGGTATTTTTAGTGGTAGTCTTGGTGGTTCAGGAATTACACCCACGGAACTTATTGGTCATGCATTATCAGCAGAGAACATTTTAAGATCGTTTAGAAGTCTTCACCCCTCCAGGTGGCAGAAGTGCTGGCAGCAATAGTTTGTTAATGTCTGTTCTAATAGTTGCAAGGGAATTGTGAGACTTCATAGCACTAAAAGCATGAATGAGGTTAGTGGGGTTTCTGGTGCTGTTTTCAGGTTCTGGAATAGAATATTTTCTAGTGCTTGACCATGTATCTCCTCTGTGTTTCTGTGTATCTTTTTGTAATTTAGTTACCTGCTCCTGATGTGGTTTGTTCTCATAGTCTGCTGCTGCTTTGTTCTGGTATCTTCTTTCCCACAGCCTTCTTCACCTTCACCCATTCTGCTGTAAATAGCTTGGCTTTCTTAGGCCCAAAATCACAGGTGGAGGCTTACTTTTATTCTCTGATGGCAAATATCACAATTCCCTCTTGAACCGTGAAACTTAATTTCTGGGAAGAATTTTTCTCTCTGGGTTTGAATATTCTTGTTAGTGTGAACTGTATAGGATGTACATACTGAGCAGCATATACTCAGTCAYACACAGACTCAATAAATATTTTGGGCATGGCCTCTCTAGTGAAATCTGCAGCCAGCTTAGATGGCAAAGCCTGTTTAGCATTAACAAAATTTTAATTTTGTTYTATCTTTTGCTGTTCATTCTTTGGACATAATCTGTGGAGTTTAGGGGAAGAAAGCATGTTCCTAAGGCAGAGTGTGTTCAGTGTGACTGTTGAGTCCAGCACAAAGCATAACAGCATGGAAACTTTTTAGTGAATGGCAATATTTTTAGTATAGGCAAACAAAGCATTCTCCCATAACCCTGTTTTTGTACATCACTGAATATATCTGAGGTAAGAAATTTAAAACAGAACTGCTAATTGGCCAAGACTACAGTAGTCATGCTTCATACAGAAACTTCCACCCTGAGTCCATAGTGTTGCAGATATTATAATTGAGAGCAGGGGCTTAGAATGGCAAGTTCTGGCAAGTGGAACTGCAGTTTCTGCCATCAGCTCCAGCTATGACTTGAAGGTATTTTATTTTCTGAATAGTTTCCATGATGTTGAGTTGTTTTTCTGTTCTCTTGCTGGTGTTTTGTATCTTAATTCAGTATATTTTGACTCATCCTTTTCTTARTCTGACACCCGTTTCCTGAATCTTCAGCCTCTCTGTTGATGTTTCAAGAATATATTTTTGAATCTTATGCTATTTGACTTGATGCCAGTGGGTAGAAGAGTCTTACTTTTAGTGGGTAACAGGATGTGGGTCTGGGGCAGGGGGGTGGATCACGTGAGTTGTTGAATGGGATTTGGTAGAGTTTTTTTTGAATACAGGTCATTTATCTACTTGAGATCTGTATAATGATTTTGCTCCCCTTTCAGTTTTCTCTGTGTGTTTTCTTTTGGATTTTATTTTTTAAGATGACTGGATCTGTGAAGCAGTATAACCTATCCAATAGATTTTTGTGAGACACAGGGACTTCCCAGTTTCAGATTTCTGTAGTGCATGGTTTTGGCAGAGGTACTGATTTTTCTGGTTTTAATTTCCTGCTTTTAGTGTTTATTGGACACTGTTCCCTTTATATTCAGGGTCAAGTTTGATCAAAATCTCCCCTCGAAAAGATTATCTGCATTTGCTCGCTCCTTTTAACCTTTAACTAATGTGTTTAAGGTATGTAGGAGGTGGCATGTGCATTCTACTTTTGTAGCCATGGTATTTCTAGCTATTTCACCTGCAAATGCTGTTTAGCAAGTTACTACTTTTGGCAAAGTCAGCCATGAACTTCCAGAGAAGCATTTTTCCCTCTTTCCTTGTTTCCTTCCATATGTGTGTTCACCAACACAGTGCTGGATTTAGAATTGGGGTGATCACTTACTCACTGACTGATGAGAAGCCGTGATCCTGGATTGAGAAATACAAATTTCAGGAGTAAATGAGAGCCTGTTTTTAAGTAGGAATCTTTTTTTTCTTCTTCCAAAACAGCCTGGTTTTGACTTAAGGCATAAAAAATTGATTTCAAAATACCAATATTTTTAGTAATTTATTGTGTTTAAAAGGTGACCTTTTTCTGTGCCAAAGTCTTTAAAATGAAAAATCTCATTCAAGAGGTAGAATTTTTCTCCACTGTTCCTTTAAATAAATGACGTTTGCTTGCTTGTACGTGGAGTATAGGTTTTAGCYATACAGTTATAAATGTTGCTGTCATAGTACATAATAAGAAAAATAATATCTGAAATTAGGAAAGAAGTACAGTGTAATTTAATGCCGATATTTTTCAAAGTTCATAATGATCTGTACTTAACCATGTTGTTATTAAAATCCCATAAAACGTTATCTGTGTACTARGTACGTACAGTGATACTAAACTTTCAAGTTGTTCATTTTGCTGAATCCTCGAGTTTAGGTCATTAARAATTATTACAGGCAGGTCTTAAAAACTGTTAGGCATCTGCATACCACTGGAATGCCTGTGGGCCTTGAACAAAAACTTGCAGAAATGCTTGCATTGCTTAGGTAAAAAATCCAAAATCCAGATCTACATAAGACTTGTTTGATGCTTGTGAAGAGTTTGATAACATACATCTGAGTGGAGTCCCTGATATAATCAATTTTTGGTAAAACTCCTTAGGCAGTAGAAGAAGCTTGCCTGACAAGCATGCTTTTTTCCATAAACACTGACTGAAACTTACTTGTAAACTTACCTTTTTCAGATGGTTTCAGCATGGTATTCTTGTGTTACCTTTTTCAAATCATCATGGGTGTGAATCTCTTTAAGGTAGTACCAGCTGTAGCTGAGGAACCAAACATGCTTGATCTTTCTCTAGTTCTCTTCATGCATTTGTGTGTTTTCCCCTCTTGTTTGTAACTGCATTTCTGTCCAATTTCTTTGACAGGATTCTGACCGAAAACATGAAGAAAGCCGTAGGGAGAGGACCAAGAGTGAGAAAAAAGATAGGCACCGGAGCCGCAGCCGTTCTCAGGAGAGAGATTACACTTAYAGCAGACAAAAAGACAAATACRGAGAAGATGTCCGAGTAAGAGACTGGGACAAAAAAGCAGACAGAAGTAGAAGTCCTAAGAAATCAAAAGACAAAGAGAGATCAAAGTACAGATGAAGGACAAGGCAGAGGGGAACTAAAATAATAAATTTAACTTTTTTCTTTTGTGATTGTTTTTTTCTGTAATACTTGCTGTAGTGTCTGACTGCAATGTGCAATAAGATTTTATAGCTTGGTACYACCCCTCACTGGAGTATGATCTGCTAGTTCTAAAACTCAAAATGAATGGCTGCCAATTGCTCCGTCCTGGACTGCCAATAGCTGTGCCTGGGTACAGCATCTCAATTGACTGTGCAGAARGAGAACTTCTTATTAAGACAATTCTGTGGGAAGGCTGGGATGTAAGGAACAAAAGCAGCTGAAACTATACCATGGCAGAAAATTCTGACTAAGGCCAGGCTAGATGACTGTAGTCTCCAGACCTAAGCTGAGTGGAGATACTGAGAAATGTGCTTTCCAGCAGCATCTGCCCTTTCTTCGCTTTGTTAAAGACAAAGCTGGACTCTAGCATCTTTGGTGCTTGTGGACTGAATAAAAAAAAAACCCACCTTCCTCTGTGATGTTGAGAATAACAAAGAAAATGTCACAGCAGAATCATCAGCTTCTTCACTTTGACATAGCTGTGGCCTGTTTGAAGGGGAACTRTTCATGCTTTAGGCTCTTTGTTCAGTGTTTGAATGCTTAGAAACCAGCTACTCACAGTTTTCTGTTGGATTCCTTTAGTTGCACCAGCTTAAAAATATGATGTAGACTCTAAACAATTGTATTTGGTGTATAAGAGGAAGTTTGAAATCTATTTTTATGTCATGCATTACAGTTCTTTTAGTCCTCTCTAGTCTTGGGSTAGAGTCCAAGACTTAAAATGGACTTGACCAAATATACTAGGTGTACCTGATTAAGAAGCTGCATTTTGATGAATCTCTAACTTTTGTGGCCTTCAAAGCATGGAACTAGAAATCCAAAGCTTCCATAACTGTCTCCTGGCAAAACATTTCTAACCCACTGAGACCCTGTAGGGACTGGTGCCATCCTTGCAGAGTCTGAGCAAGAGCCCTCTGTCCCAAAGAAAAGGTAAACAGGAAGCCTGTTCCTGGAGGTCTCTCAGGGAATCTGGGGCTGAGGATTGCTCACTATTCCTGTCAAAGAAGTTTCTGTCTTCAGTCTGGGCATAAGAAGAGTTCAAGGAACTGTACTAGGTCTGGGTCAKGATATGGTGCCTTTGGAATAATGCTGCAGAGGCAATAGGTCGTCTTGAGTTCTGCCTGCTGTGTTGAAGAAACAAGGTCTGTGCTGTCAYACTATTCTCAGTCCTGCAATGCTTCTTTTCCATATGACACTTTTAACTTGCAAAAAGCACTGCCCAGATTTGAGAAGGATCTGAAAATAGTAAAGCAATTGTGTCCTTGCTGCCTTTAGAACATGGCAGTCATGGAAACAAAAAAAGCTTGCACTTGAATTCTTGCTGAGCACCAGAGATCATCTTATTGGAGAGTTGCGACTTAACATCACAAAGAGTTTCAGCAGGCATTCCTAGGCTTCATCTAACCCTCAGCCACCTGTGGGACACGCAAAACTTACTGATGTTTAGAAACACCCTATTTCAGGTGAGTGTGCTCACTTTTCTGCAGAAGAAATGGCTTGTGTTTTTGGAGCAGGTAAATGCTTAAGAACTGGAAGTTTAAATGAGTAGTATATGGAAGCAAATAGTCCATTTTTGTTGTTGGCCAAAGAGTCTTCAGAATAAAGGGTTAAAAAGTCAGTACATCTGAAAGGTTTCAAGTTTTTCAGTATGCCTTGGTGCTTTTAAAAATACACAGTATCTTCAAATTGGCAAAATTACTTGTTTATATTTTTAAGAGAAAACGTTTAAATGTGGTTGTTCAAAAAAAAGGTGATACTAGTAAGTGATTACATGACAGCATGAAAGCTCCCAATTTGGACGCAAGTACKTAATTCTAGGGCTGCATTTCTAGGTTAGTCTGTTAACGCTGAAGGGATTGCAGTTCACCTGGTACATACACAGACAGTTGAGCACTCTGGGTTAGACGGGATTTACTGCTCCGGTCATGGGAAATTGTGTCTGTGTACATGTGGTCCTACTGGAAATGGCACAAACAAAATGTGGGGTCAGCTGAAACCATCTCCTGCTGTTCCTGCCTGGCCAGGAGGTGTTGGAGAGGACAGGACTTTTTGTTACCTGGGAGTTGAAGAGTTGACTTGATTTAATATAATGAGAGTTCACACTTCCTTGTCATTTCCTTTTTGTCAACTCTGTCTCCAACCTCAGTTTCAATATTGACCTTTGGTGCTTGTGGTAGTTAAAAAACAGAACAAAAAATCCCACCTTCCTCTATCATGTTAAAAATAGCATTGAAAATGTAGCAGAAACCTCAGTTTCTTCACTTTGACAGAGCTGAGGCCTGTTAGAAGGGGAACTCCTCATGCTTTAGGCTCTTTTTTCAGAGCTTAAAGGCTTAAAATTCAGCTCCTCAGAGTTTTCCATTGGGTTCCTTTACCTGCAACATCTTAAAATTACGATGTAGAYTCTCAACTATTTTGTTTCTTGGATTTGAGGAAGTTTGAGACCTATTTTGATGTCATGTGCTATAGTTCCTTTATTTCTGTGTAGATCCCTTGAGCTAGAGTGCAAGAYTTGAAGTGGACTTAACCAAGCCATGTTGTGCCGTAAACCAGGTCTTAGAACACTAAAGAGCACAAGTGGGAGAGGGGTAAGTTGCAACAGAGATCTCTGTCTAATCCCACAGATATCACACAAGTCAGTAGAAGTAGCATAAAAGTTATATCCAGGTAGTTGGCATTGCAGGATGGGTGAYGCAGTAAAGTGTTACCCAAACCCAGTCTTGGTAATCCTGTACTCTCTGGAGGTAAAGCTGTACCTAGGTCCTTCMACTTGTCAAAAAAATCCCCTAACAATCTAAAAAACAGCCCTAACAACCACCCAAACAAACCAAAACAAACCAAGTTCCCCCTTACCCTCCACCCCCCCAGCTATTAGTCATTTGGACAAGCATTTTAAAATTTTCAATAAGTTTAGAACAGTTCCTGATTCTGTTTGCTCTTACCTTTGTCCATCTTACCCTCCAGCAGGCTGATGTTTTTCATGTAAAACTTGTATGTTATTGGGTGCTGCCTGTAAACTTCCTGGAGCACGGGTAATGTTTTTCCTTTTCTATCAGTCACTTGTTGCCTACAGGGCTAGCACAAGCAATTTGGAAAATGKTAAATTACAGTAAGATTTATGTAAATACTTGCTACAGGGCARTATTTTTGTGTTAAACACTTGGTCTGGTTACTGATGGAATGCACTTTTTCTCAGTGAACAAGCCAGTATCACCTTGGTTAAACGTGGTAGCTGTGTTAAAAGGTACTGGCAAACCACATGTAGGTTTAGGTTTTAGGAGCTTTCAATAAATCATTGAAGCTGAAAGACAGTTCCAAGAGCCTTCTGCAGTCTTAACCTGAACGGCAGAACTTGAAACTTGCTTGGGACTTTCTGATTGTAAAAGGTGCTTTTTTATTTTAAGCCCAGTGGAAAACATTTGAGTCATAGCAGAATTTTGTTACATAAAAGGCAGAGGGAAAATAGATATTTTAGTCAAAACAAAGTAGGGATCCTGCTACATCTGACTGTATGGATGGGATTGCAATTTTCCAAGAAGTTACCATTGTCTGCAGAATTGAAATTAGTTTTCCTGTTTTTTGTTCTCCCTGTTCTGTGGTCAGGTTGAGTGCTTGCTATAGTGGCATAATTTTGGGGAAGTAAGAAAGGTGATCATTTTGGCAAGCATGTAGAAATGCCTCTTCTAAGGATAGTGGCTTTGTCTTGGTTTGAATACAGGATTGTCTGTCAGTAACTGAGCTGGTACTCAGTAGGACCTGCTAAGTTAGCGATATATGCTTTTGGGATGAATATCTGTCTCCAAGTCAAAATTCAGTGTCTGCAGCAGGGAGAGAATTTCACTGGCAGAAAACACCCAGACTTTGTCTAATAGTGTGTAAAAAATGATCATTAAAATCGGGAGCATAGCTCGTACTGTTGAGGGTCTGGCCCAAGCCTTCTTGAAGGGAGTAGAGAAATATTCTCACTTGAGGCAGGATGGAGAATGTATTAGTTCCAGAAATATTAAAAATACTCCTGGCAATAAGCCTACATTTGATTTAGCACTTGCTTTATCATGACTGTCTTCTGCTGGTTAGGGGCTAAAGACTTTCCACTGTTACTGTGGCCATGTATGCTGGTTTGGTATTCCCAGCAGGTGAACTCAGATGAGGCAGAGGGTGGTAAGACGCTTCTCTTGTGCTGATGCAATGACTGTTTCCTTGAGCAAAGCAAATAGCTCACTGGGGTGTGTAGACAAAAACACCTGAGGTGTTCCACAGTCCTAGTTTCAAGAGAATGTCTTTTCCATGCAGAGGTCTAACACTATCAGGAAAGTGGTTTTGYGCAGGGAGCCTTCTTGAAAGTCATACTTGGTCCTCTTCTTAGCCTCCAGGAGCTGCCCCAACAAGGCTGTCCCACTTCGAGGTTGATAGTGATTCTTTCTGGTGAAGCTCTAGCTGTTTCACATACCTGTAATCCTCAATCCTCAGCTCATTATTGGAACATCCATTAGTCAGGAGWTCTTCTCCTCTGAAAACTCCTAGTGCAGCTCTTACCCTCTTGAACATAGCAATGGCCTTGAGCAGCAATAAATCTATGCTGGGAAAAGTCAGCATGCTTGTCAGCACAAGGGAGCATAACAGAGAAAGGAAATGTCTRTGAAACCACAGTCTTGGGTGCTCAGATGTGACCAAAAGGGTTTGAGGCCATCTGAAAAATTAAATATGCTCCTTTATTTCTCATCATCTTCTCTCTGGTAGCTGGTGATCACCTAGGTAAAGGCTCTTAATGGATTTCAGAAATTGACTAGGGGTCTTCCTATCTGTGGAAGATTTGAATGGTGTTGAAGTCTTTTGCTTGTGGCTTTTACAGTAGATGGGCTTAGTCATTTTGGTAGAAATTAAAATCCTCTTTTCTAATTGGCTTTTCTTTTTATAAGCTCTGTTTTTTTYCTGTTTATATATAGGAAAAACCCCAATTTAAATGTGAAGTAGGGGTTAAAATGACACTATGCACTGTAGTGTGCTTTGCTCTGTTGCCTGCCTGGGTTATAAATAATACAACAACTTTCTCTTTCCAAGAGTACTGCTACGTGGTCGTCTTGTGATGAGGTGTGTGGCATTGTGAAAGTTTAAATGGAGCAGGGAAGATCCCTCCTCTCCAGGGGTGTCTGGAGTCAAAGGAGTCAAAGGTTGTGTGTCAAAGGGTGTTCTGCTTTCACAGCTGTTCTGGGCAGCTGGGAACTAACACATTTTTGGTTGTGACCTTAAGAATGCTCCCCTGTTTCTGTGGCCATTAACCTACCACAGGTTTGTGGACCAGAGAAAGTGTGGTGCCAGAGATAGGACAGATGAGGCTGTGTGCTGCCCCTTTATCCTGTGACTGCCTGGGCACTACTTTACACAGCAGCAGGGTTTCTTGAATCCCAAAGAATTTCCAGGAGTCTGGGTGTGATGCAAAGGCATAAGTGTTACCTGGAAACATCCAGGAAGCGATGGTGAGGCTTGCAGCAACCAGCAGCTACTCCTTGGATTAAACAGGATACCACTACAGAGGCTTTGGCCACCCTGCTTCCTCCCACAAAGTATGCAGGTAGTGAGGGGATTTCTGACTGGGAAAGATCAACCCTGCTCTGGTGTGGTGCCTTGTGACAGTGGCAGAGGTACTCTCTGTCCACAGCAGGGCACTCCAACCTTCCCTGGCCCTGGGGGCAGAGGACACTGCACCTGTAAGAGCTGTGTGAAGCATCCAAAAGGTCGCAGAGGTTAACCCCTCCTTGAGTCTCCAAGCCTTCCTGCTGCCTAAAATTGGATTTGAGGCATATTTCTTCGTAGGGAGGTAAGGAACAACCAGGGGAAAAACCTCAGGTTTCCACTGAGAGGTGCCTGTCAGTCTTTGCTGGGTGTCTCTGAAGTAGGCTTTCAATTGAGGGCCCWGCAGGATAGGGTTGTTTGGTTTTTGATGTTTCATTGTAGTGTCCCAGAGCAGGTTCCCTCTGACGTGAAGGTGTTTGAATGAGGCTTTGCAGTATCAGATGCTAAGCAAAATGCTGACTTTTTAGAATATTCTTTTCCATGTTTCCCCAAAGATCAGGAATTTGCCAGATGCATGGAAATGAGACTATCCTAACKTGGTAGAGGAACCCTGGTGGAAAACTTTTCACTTGACCCAGAATTCATATGCTGTATTCTCACTGCCCAGTGTTACGGATCCCTGCCAGAGTTTGACTAATCTTTGCCTGTGATTCAGAACAGAGATGTGTTGGAAACCTCGTTTTATTTTAGTTTTCCTTTTGAAAAATGAAGTGAAAGTTTATCAAACTACAGTTAAATGAAAGCTTGGCCAACCAAATGAGGAAGTAAAACCTTCCTATAAAATGAGTTATGCCCACTGCACCTCTTATGTCAGTTGACATAAGCCTTGCCTCTAAATATGAGCTGGTGACTTCCTTGTGAGCCTAGTTCTGCTCTGAATCCAGTTGCTGGCTGCAGAATGGTGGGACGATACTGCTGGGCCACAGAAAGAACGGCTGCCAGGTAAGGTGCAGAGCAAGCAGTGTTACCTGTGAGCACAGCTCGCTCCCTGGGAGGTTTGGCTTTGYTATTTTTAGCAAATGGAGCAGTCAAGGTCAAGACAATAAATGACTGGTCTTGTTATTCAGAGTTTATGTGTATCTAACTTGTGAAAATAAAAACTCTTTGTTTTTTCTGAAGGCAGAGCAGCCTATCTGCTTTTGGAGAAACACTTCCTGGCAGGGCTCAAATGGGCTGTCAGTCATGGAGGTTTGCAGCATTATTCTCAGGGGTGAAGGAGGCAGAAGTGGTCCAGCCCTGAGCTGTGAGGGGGAGCACTGTGGTGGCAGGGAGCTGTGGCTGTCCTCCTTGTGCTGCTCAGCACATAAACACACTTTGAAGAGGACCTAAACCTTGACCAGTGCCAAGTCTCAGGCTGTGTCCCCTCTGCCTCTGCTGGAGCAGAACAGGATTTTGGGGGGGCTTTGAGGAGCCCTAACTGCCTCTGAGTCAAACTGGTCCTTATTGTGGTTGTGTGCCCTGAGACTGCTGGAGGTGCTGGTCTAATCACAAGTGGAGCAAACTCCTGGTGGAAGGATGAGGAAAAATTGGTGTAGTAGTTACCACCATCTTTTTGGAATTTTTTTTTCAATTATTATTTTCTAATCTTACAAATCTTTCAAAATACACCAAAGGCAGAAAACCGTAAGAGCTATTTTGGTTTTTTTGGTTGCATATACTTTTTCAAAGTTCAGATTTTAAAGTTCAGATTTTAAAAGGGAACATTCTAAAATATTAAAATAAAAATAGAGTTTTGGAAGCCTGACTGAAGCCATTTCCTCTGTGTGTGCGTATGTGTGTGCGCACCTGTAAGAGGGATCACAACACCACAGAGAGAGAAGTGCTTTTTAAGCTAGAACATTGAGTGGGCACAGCATTCCCTGTGGATAAAATTAGCCAGGAAATRAGAAGACTTGGGCTTCCCAGTGGAATGAAAACAAAACCAGCTTCCCAACAGGACCTGCTGAGATGAAGGGAGGAAAGTGGCAGGAGGAAATCTAAGTAGTTTGCAAATGAAGGTCATAAAGTTTATTAATGGAATTTCACAACCTGTTTGTGATAGCAAAAACTGGACTCTGTGATGCACAATTTCTCCTCTTGTGTTACGTGTCTTTTTGTGCTGGTTATAAGCATGGTGGACTTGGGCATGCTCCTGACTGTTTGCTAATGTGTAAGCCAGTGATTTCACTGCCCTTTAATTAGACCTTGGGAAGCGTGACCTCAGTGTTGCCTGTGACCAAGGCTTCCATCTCACTTGTTCAAAATTGTTCTCTCTGTGGTGAAAGCCCTGCAGTGAGGTTATCCCCCATTTTTCATGTTTGTCCACCCTGCAGCAGTGGCTAACTTTGCAGAATTACCAAATTGCTGGTGATGGCCGATAATGCATCGTATCAACGCCAGGCAGCAATTCAGAACATTTGCCCTGCTTACCAAGCCAGAGGGATTCACTAAGGAAGCAAAGGGTACAGMCATGGACCATGGGCTTGGTGCTGCCTGAGATGGAGCTAGAAAAGTGTTGTGGTGAGCAGCCTTCATCCATCACCTGCTCACATGTGCTGCTGCTGCTGCTGGAGGCTGCTAGGCTGACATGGCCTCTGCCCCCTCTGCAGCGGGACAGATGTCTGGTAAAATTCTGAAGCATTGAATAGAACCTAATTCATGATGAGAAATCCAGGACAAACATCCACACAACACAATGTTAACCTAACTTGGGACATTGTTCTGATAGTAAAAGAAAAGGAAAAAAAAACCAAACCCAAACCAAAAAAAGAAAAAGCATCAGAATAGACAGAAGTACAGGTTTGAAAACAATAGTAATGGCTATTAAAATACGGGTTAAATATTTTCTTTTCAATCTGAAGACAGATACTAACAAAAGTTTTTAATTTACAATAATTTATTAAAATAATCTAGGCATTTTTAAAAAATCAAGTAGTATACAGTAAGTGTTTGGAGCCACAGACTGCATACCTGAAAGCAGGTTTTACTGTGGTGATAGTCCAGATGTAAATGCTTCTGCTGTATTTGGTTACATCAATGTATTTCAGCTCAGAGAGCAGCTGTTTCAAGGATGAGAAAACATTTCAATCATGAAAAAGCAGGCAAATACATTTGCATCTTTAGTCAATGAATTAAAAACAAGGATTAGATGTAAAAATTGCTACAGAGTGCACTGTGAGGAAAAAGTCATTGACTGAAATAAGCAATGCTTTAGTTTAGGTGGAAACATACGCACRGTAAGTGCTTTCCCCCTACAATGATGACATATTTAAGGTATTTTTTATTTTATTGATGCTGTTGGTCACYTGATGGGTGAGTGGTCACTGTGTATGTTCTTCTGCATCACGCTTGTTGGGCTGAAGCACCTCTGGGTATCTCTGAGCATGCTGCCCATCACCTTCATTCACTGGGTAGACCAGAAATGTACATGGTGCAGTTCTGAAGAAGTAGGAAGTAGCTTTTTGCGGCTTTTGCACACTCATATCTGAATTACCTGTTTCTCTTGACAATAAACATACGTGAAATTGAAACCATTTTCTGGATCGCCTGCTTCTGAGTGCTGCCCCGATGGCTTTCAAAAAAAAAAAAAAGCTGCTTCTCTGAACATAAAAGCCCTCACTGAAATAGCAATTAACAGGAAAAGGGTAGTCAGGCATCATCAGAACTGAGGAGCGACAGAATTTCAGAATTTATGTCTGTGTACACATAGTAGGTAAGACAAAACTATTGAAAAAAAAAACCCCACTGTTTCCAGATATTTTGCAAACAGCATGTTTCCTTGAATCACTGGATGAAATTTACTATACTTGTTAAGTTGCTATGGCATCTGAACCCATCCAGTAAAATTTGACAGATTCTTATCTCAGGCTGACAAACCGCACAGCAGACTGAAAATCCCCTTTGTGTCATTTCCTGTGAGATAAGTCTGAAGAACCAATTCACGCATGCAGCCTGACTGCATACAGGCATCCTGGCACGGCTCACCAAGAAAGGTGACACCTGTCTGACATAATGTTTGGAGAGTGACGAACATTGCATGGGACACTGATGCTTTTATAATTAAGAGCAGACCAGAAAAATGCTTTAATGCTGGGAGAAGACTGGACAGTCTCCTCAGAGAGAAGACAGCTGATCTTGTGCTCTCTGCTGTGCACCAGGCACATAAGTGAGATGATTGCATTTTCTTCCTTAATGCCTATGTTTTGTTTTTTCTAATTTTCCCCTCCCCAAAGTTGATGCCTGTTGGACAAGCTGGGAGGACAGGAGCTCCAGGTTTAAAGGAACGTAAAGTCCAGGTAAAATGGCACTGGCCAGTTCCATTTCTAGCAAACCAATATCATCACACTCCAGAAAAGTTTCTGCAGCAGGAGTGGAAGTGCACCAGAGCAAGCTGGATTTTTTCTGCAAGCTGGGCTATGGTAAGCAGGACATCTGCAAAGTGCTGGAAAACCTGGGCCMAGAGGCCCTGGAGGATGATGTGCTGAAAGAGCTGATTCGGATGGGCAGCAAGCCTCAAGCTCTGGAGAAGCAGGCTCAGCATTCCCCGCTGAAGCTCATTGCCCGTGGCTCRTGTAGCGCCACACCGGGGCTGAAGTGGCTCGGAGGAGAAGATGAAAGCGATGCTTCCARTTCCTTGAGACCCATTGTGATCGATGGCAGCAACGTTGCAATGAGGTAAGTTCTGTTTCCTGAAAGGCACCTCTCTTCCTCTGAAGCTCTAAAACTTTCAAACTGATGGCTTGAAATGTGTTTTTCCTTCAGGGGTGAGGTGCATTGGTGCATTTGGTGTATGAACAGTGGCTTATTCCTGTTCCTTGACTGATGCATGGCTTCTGAGGGCCCGCTGCCTGGATGCCCAAAAATGCAATTACTGCCTCACTCTGCCTTTCATAAGGCACCTCTGGCCAACCACTGCCCTTTGTGGCTGTGTGTCTGCCTTTGAGCTCACCATTAAATTACCCTCCCTTTTCAAATGGGCACCAAGGATTTCTAAACCGATAATGCTAATGTTTCCAGGAAAAACTGATGAACAGATAGACCGACCACCCACTGAATCTAAGGGGAGGTGACTGTGGTTTCTAACAGTATCACAGTTGTACTGCTTGGGCTTGCAAGTAAACCCCCAAAAATGTTCCCAGCTTATATAATTTTTATTGGTTTTCAGTTTGGCTTCAGTTTTAGGGGAATATTGGGGAATTGATAGTTGACTTGTATTGAATAGTCTCATTTCCTCCTTAGTCATCCTGGTTCTGGGAAATGTCATCAACCCATACTGCCAACTACATTTCTTGAGCAGTGTCCTGGCACTGTGAAAGCACTCTTACAGACGAGAAGCCTGGCATGTCCCTGTGGATGAGATGTCCAAAGACGGCAGGGGGTTGGCCTCTGATTACCCAAGCAATATGGAGCCAAGAGTCCAGGATGCACTTGCTGTCCCTCTGTATTCCTCTGTTAACTTCCCTGTCCACTCAGCAAGGCTGGGACAGGGCAAAGAAGAGTTTTCTCCTTCAGTTAGCTGTCTTGYGAGGTGAGATGAGACCACATCCCCTCTGATTAAAGAAAAAAGTGGGCAAGAGCATCCAGAGAACTGAAGACTAAGCAAATTATGCCCTCTTGTGGGTGAAGGGAGAAATCCCAGCCAAAACCAAGAGGTTCCTGGCTCAAGGCCGTTCACAAGGAGTGGGAAATAGCTGAGCAAACTTGGCCTTGTCTGGGCCAGGAGATCAGTAGTCAGGTGTTGGGATCTCCTGCCCTGCTTGGCCTTTTCACCCAAACCCYTCCTCAGGGTGTCCTTGCTTCCCTGCAGATGAATGGAGCACCCACTCAGGCAGTGTGACTGAGCTGATCYCCCACCCTTTCACTGTGCCAGGGTCGATATTGCCCCTGACATGCTCTGTCCTCAGCTCTTCTGGCACAGCAGTTTTGAGTTCCAGAAAGGAAAAGGTTTTACAGCTCTTCCCAAACATSCCAGCCTCTGTCTTGATAGAAACCACGTGGATGATGCAGGAGACGATTGAGCTTGTTGGTTCAGTTGGTACTGAAGGGACACAGCCTGCAAGAAGCTGTGGAGCTGCTTTCTTCTCCTGCATGCCTTTCAGAGTGGTGCTGAATGGCATTTGCTTTGGCTGATGGGATAGGCCTGGAGAGGGCTTTCAGTGCTTTTYCCCTTGTTTTCATTTTTCTGGTTTGCTGCTGTCAGAGAAGGACTGTTTGCAGATGTCAGGGGAAAGGGATGTTAGGTTTCCTTGCTGGGCAAAAATGCATCATCATCAACACCAACTACCACAGAAGTGCAGCAGAAGCAGCAGTTTAGGGATGAAACCATCCAGAAATTAGGGCTTCAAGTGGCAGCTGTCTGTGTGGAGAAAAATATCTGGACCATTTGTATTTATATCCTAGGACTGTTTTTTCTGGAGCATTTTAGAGTTGCCATTGAAGACCCACTGCAGAGTGCAAGTGTTTGAAAGGATGTATCTACCCCAAGGTAGTAAAGCAAGTGAGCTGGCAGTTTCCAGCCATCTGAATGGAAAATAACCTTGGCTTCAGCCAGTTTCACTTGTCAWGTGTCTCACACTTTGTGTTTCCATCAGATGTAATGAGAAACTTCAGCCACCTGCCAGCCTACCCACGGGAAGTTTAGCAAGGCTGGTGAAAAAAATAAATGGAATTGTGTTAGTAGGAAAACAGAACTGTCATAACCCTGTTCACCRCCCACCAAAGAGGCTGCTATCTCCTCTCTGCTTGCACTTACAYCTTGATTTAAAGCTGTGGTAGCTACCGAGGCCTTTTCCTAGGCCTTTCTGACAAAGGTGTGGCTGATACTGTGTCATAACCAGGTGGAGATGGAGCCATTTGCAGTTTTCAAAAGAAGTTGTTTTGCCTAAGCGTCCTCTCAAAGGAGATGGAATGGCAATTTAGAAAGGATGCTAATGCATGCTAATAATGGATTAACTGCAGGAGTCACAAAGATCCCAAATTTCTGCTTCATTTTCTGAGAGATGGGCCCTGCTGATGTGTGACCTCAGTGCAGACCCTGTCACTGGCAGGAGGGAGAGATGAGACTGACTTACAGCAGATCATGGATGGGTTGTGGTCTGTGGACTACAGGGTTATGTGGGAAAGGTGACTGACAAGAGCCAGTCTGTGTCCAGGGAGGGAGGATGGAAAGTTCTGAGGTTGCCCAGCTCTGTTCCGTTGCACAGCAGCGACTGGTGCTCCGGTGTGGACACTGCAGCCTCGAAAAGGTGCACAGACCAGTTCAGATGGCCCCCAGGTCTAGATGTAGCAGTGTGGCAGCAGCTGGATTAAAGGATAACTCTAAGCCTCATCTTACTTGTCCCACTCGGCCTTTTGGCTGACCCACTTGTGCTTGAGTAGTTTCTACACTGGGGTATACTTAGAACTGCTTTCCTAAAGCTCACAGAATTACATATACAAGTAGTCAATATTAAAGAAAGCTGTTGCTGGGCTTTGAGTCGTAGCACTGAAGATGTACCTGGACTGCCTTTTAAAGGCAGCTGTCTGAAAAAGTCACCCAAACTTCCAGTTCACTGGTCCAGGTGATGTTATGAGTGTCCTGGATATATTCTATCCCTTAAAACTAAACAAAAGAGCTGTTCTAATATGGAGATTCGATATGTCAAGCACTTCAGACCATTTATTATTGCTAAGGGTTTTATAGACTTCCTATTGCCTTGGTATCTGTTAATAGGCAGCCAGGTTTCTTCCTCCAAATGGTGCTATTTTTTCATTTGTGGTCTCTATTTCAGGATGGAAACTTTCATTGGGTGTACAATGGAGCTTTGCTTATGGGGCTGATGTAATCAGAACCTAGAGATGAATCCCTGCAGGTGGTGGTGGGAGGCTCCCTTAAGGCTGTGGCATCATCCTTGGCTGGTCTGTCACTGCAGGTGGGTGTAGCAGCCAAGGGAGTTATTTACAGGGYTTTTTGCAGAGGTGAAAGCCTGAGAGTGAGACTGTGGAGATATTATCCAGAAAGGTCAAAGTACAAGGTTGTGGATTCTGTAGATACTGTGAGGACCTTTATCCTTTAAGGACTTTGTGTACAGTTTATTTTTGTTTCCTTGTGCAGAAGTAGTTAACAAACTACCTTCCTTTACATGTGCACTGCATTGTAGTCAGATTTTAGATGAGCGAATTTCAAGTGGTAAGAACTTCCAGGGAAGGTGAGAAATTTATAGGGATATCAGTCCTAGTTGTTTCCCTTGAGGTTATTTTCTGTCTTACAGTGCATATTGAATTCTTCRGAACCCACCTTACTGGCACCTCTAGAACACTTGTCTTAGGACTTTCCTACCTTTCTGTGCAACAAATACAAAATCCACCAATCAGGGCAAGATGAAAGTGGGCCTGAAGTGCCTGTGGCCTCCTCCACATGTCTTGTCCCTTTTTGGTGATCTGGTTTACGTTCTCCGTGTTTCCCCTCCCACCTCTTACAGTTTTCCTTCTCCCGTATTTTGTCTCACGTTTCCAAAAGACATCATCAGTGGAATGCCCTGTGATCACACCTGCAGCTGCCTCAGACATTAAAATCCCTAATTACCACAGAAAATTCCCACATTTTGTTTCTCACAGGAAAACCTTATGGATTTCTGCTTGTGCAGGAACAAACTCTCACTCCTCAACCCTGTTTCAGACAAGGCATGTGAAGGGTTGGACAAGGCCTAACATGTTGCTGGTGCTTTAAGTCCATCCAGACACAGATGGAAGGAATAGGTTCGGGTAACAGAAATGGGGGATAGGATACCTCTGTTTTTAAATATCCAAACTATTTTGGATAAATCTTTTAGCTCTGCTAGAAGAGGTGTTTGGATCTGTCGCAGAACACCCTGCCAGGTTGTTTTCTTAGAAGGCGGTGAATGACACAAAAGCTGTTTATTTTGCCTTTTCATTACTGGCTCAGTTGAAGAGTACTTTAAGCTTCATAAAAGCTTTGCCTCATCATCCTCCCTTTTTTTTATAGTCATGGAAACAAAGAGGTATTCTCCTGCTGGGGGATCCAGCTGGCAGTGGATTGGTTTCGAGAGAGGGGGCACACTTACATCAAGGTTTTTGTCCCACTGTGGAGAAAGGAACCCCCTCGACAAGACAGCCCCATTGCAGGTAGGTCACCATCCTGGGCATAGTTTGGAGACAGAGGGAGCTTGAAGAACCCAGGACAGTTTTTTCCCTACAAAGACAAGCACAGTGCAAGTTGTGTATGAGACTTCCCTCACTTAAATGAGTCATTAATTCATTGTCCCATTCAGTGCCCCTGGCTAGCAGCTCAAATTGCTTACAAGGCTTTGTTACACTGCTTTGAACCTTCTGCTTAACAAGCACAAGGTGCTGCCAGCTGAGTAAAAGGATTTTGTCAGCTTGCAGTGAGTCTACAGAGCTTTTGAGGAGAGCCAGGAGAAAGTGATGTTCATTGCTGCACGGCTATTATCTGTCAGTCTGTTACCCAGTGCAGAGGGTACATGGGTTCCCCTTCCAGGAGAAGAAAATGCATCAGCAGAAATCTGTGGAGGGGAGTGAGACTCCGTTTGTCAGGAAATAAATCTGTGAGATTTGTGCCAGCAGCTTGGTGTCTGCCCATGAGGCAGATCTGCCTTGCTGCACAGAAGGAATGGCAAGAGGTCAGAGTGTCCTCAACTGCAGCAAAAGAAATTTATTGATTTTATCACATTTTATATCCAGGTAAATCTCACATCAGGGCTGGTTATGAGCCTTCTAGCATCTACCAGAGTAAAAAGGGCACTGCAAGGATTCAGTATCARCCTCTATCATTTCAGAGTGTAGAATTCAAGGCATTCCTTTACAGATGAGACTTAAAAATCAAAAAAGGGTGTCTCAAAATTTACAAGTAGATGTTTTTGTAAAAGACCTAATTTTCAAGTTGCCAAATAACCATCAGATATCACTGCATGTGAAAATAACATTACTTTGAGTTTCCTAAAGTCCTGGAATGTCTTTAGGTTCCTGTGGGTTTCTAGCGGATGATTGAGACCTGGTCATTATTAAGTAATCTTTTTTTWTTTTTTTCTTTCCTCATCCACTTCTGCCAACCATGCCACCAGATCAGCACATTCTTGAGGAGCTTGAAAAGCAATCTATCCTTGTCTACACCCCCTCTCGGAAGGTGAAAGGCAAGAGGGTGGTTTGCTACGATGATCGCTACATAGTGAAAGTTGCTTATGAGAAAGATGGAGTCATTGTTTCCAATGACCACTACCGGGATCTCCAAAATGAAAACCCTGAGTGGAAATGGTTTATTGAGCAGCGACTACTCATGTACTCCTTTGTCAGTAACAGGTAAGAGATGGGTGGTGTTACAGAATCTAGAATGTAAACATTATGGGCTAAGGCAGCACCAGTGTCAGTGTACCGCCCACCAGCAGCAGAACACAAGAACCTTTTTATGGAAGGAATTTACTGCAATTTTTAAAATGTCATTTCTTGAGTTCCTGCTCCCTAAGCTTTGGTCTTAAACGTCCCCATGTCACTCTCCTCTGTAGAACTTTTCTACTTGAATGGCACGATTAGTGACCAGCTTTGTTTGTTTCCAATCCAATTTGTAATGTTAAACCAAGGGCTGGTATATTCTAATTTCTTCATACTGACCTCTCTCTTGAGCTTCCTCATAGCTGAGGTGTTCAGGGGAAATGCTCTTCATTGAGACATCCAGTGTGCACAGACAAGTACTTACACCTGTGACTTCTTTTACTTTGCCAGATTTATGCCTCCTGATGACCCGTTAGGCCGGCATGGACCCACCCTTAGTAACTTCCTCAGCAAAAAGCCAGTGCTTCCTGAAAAGAAATGTCAGCCTTGCCCCTACGGTGGGTTTCTCCCCATGCTGTGAACTGCTCCCTAGCAGCGCTCTCCTTTGCTTGGGGCCACTGCTACATGTAGTCCTGCTTCGTGTGGTGCGGCTTGGGCTGCTCAAAAGTGTGGTGCTTTTTTCCTCTCCTGCTTCTGTGGCTTCAATCTCAACAAAGGCAGCAGATGTTTCTGGCTCCTTCATCCTTGCCTGCACGCTCACGGGCACCTCAGCTGTGCTGACCGCCCTTCCTGCGCACACTGCTCACACTGTGGAGTGGACTTGTGCTGCAGCGCTTGGGAATGATCATCCAAATATGTTTCCCTCTGTCTCCTCCCAACAGCCCCCCAGCAATGTGCAGGTTTCTCAGAGGTAAAACCCTCTGCCATTTTTTAAAGCACCATTTTGTAGTAACAGATCTCCCAGCCCACTGAGTGCAGGAACCAAAACACAAACATCAGACACTTCCAAAACAGCAGAAACTTCCTTTCACTGCTGCTTCGCCCTGCTATTTATATCAGCAATATTTAAGTCTGGAGTCAAGGGTACTGAGTTTGAAAGTAGTACTTCTCCTTTTGTCTGTGTTCATCACAGTTCCACCCAATGCTGGGAAGAAGTGATATGTGCATTAATGGATGTTGGTGCTAGTGACAACCTCCTGTCTGATTTTTTTTCATTATTCCAGGTAAAAAATGCACCTATGGCAATAAATGCAAATTTTACCATCCAGAGAGACTACATCAAGCTCAGCTTTCAGTTGCTGATGAGCTCAGAGCCAAAATAAAGGTCTCGCTTGCCCTGGGGCAAGAGGAGGGCAGGTGTCAGTGCTCAGCATACATGACAGGAGGAGGAGAGCCTATGCCCTGCGATGCCTGCACAGAAGCTCTGCGGGAAGCCAGAGGCTGCTCTGTGCTTTCCTGCTGCCCAGGCAGGTCCCGGGGGCGCTGTCCTGGGCACACATCCCGGGCCCGGGCTGGCACTCCGCACCCTGACCGGGGGCTGGAGCAGCGCTTGCCACAGCCAGAACTGCTCCTGGAGGAGATGTCAGCAGTGTCCATTGGTGATGACACCCACGACTGTGACTGGTCCTTAGGCCCCTCTCAGGACAGGGGGGTCACAGACAGCCCTCAGCGCCGCGCTGCCCTTCCGCACGGGCTGCTCTCTCCTCATCGCCCTCAGAGCCTGGACCGCACCTGCTCTCCAGGGTGCCCTTTCCAGCCAAGGGTGCTCCCAGCTGGGCGAGGCAGGATGTGCCCCAAGCATGGCTGGCCTCAGCAGTGCTGTGGCATGCACRAAACAGTTCACAGGAGCCACTCCATCCCTCGTGGTGCTCAGCACCAACAGGCCCTGGACACCCAGCGTCACGTTCTGCTGCAGCCCACAGCTTTCCCCTCTGAGAGGCTTCCTGTGTACAGCGAGCACCGGCTGCAGCAGCAGCAGCATTGCTTCCCCAGCCAGCCCCCAGGGCAGCCCCTCCAGTCAGACTCCAGCCATGGAATGGGCTTCTTCCAGAAAGCCCATGCGTACCCCAGTGCCTCTCACAGGGACTGCTGGCCCACCCCAGTGGCACGGCAAGGAAACACACACACGGAGCTGTGCTGCCTTTATCCTTACAGTGAGGTGAGCCAGGTCACGGCTTTGTACCCCAGCATCAAGGACAAGGGGACAGGAGCACYTCCTCTATGACGACAGGCTGGGAAAGCTGGGGCTGTTCAGCCTGTAGAGGAGAAGGTTGCGTGGAAACCTYGTAGAAACCTTCCAGTGTCTGAAGRGAGCCTACAAGGAAGACATTGAGGGATACTTGATCAGGAACTGTAGTGATAGGACTCAGGGGGGTGGCTTCAAACTGAGAGGGGTGAGGTTTAGGTTAGATTTTTGGATTGAATTCTTAACTGTGAGGGTGATGAYGCAGTGGAACAGTTTGCTCAGAGAAGCTATGGATACCCCATCCCTGGAACTGTTCAAGGACAGGTTGAATGGGGCTTGGAGCAATCTAGTCTAGTGGAAGGTGTCCTTGCCCATGGCAGAGGTGCTGGAACTGTATGGTCTTTTGGATCCATTCCCACCCAAACCATTTTGTGATTCCGTGATATTGCCTGCTTGACTTTTAATTACTCGAAGACGCAGAAACTTGTGAAATGTCCAGAGCAAAACCATTCCCAACAAGTCCTGGGCCAAGAAGGTGCTACTCTGAGGCTTAACTCTTATTAGACAGCATTATGGCACAGATTGCAGCTGCTCCAGGAATATAAGCACAAGCATCAGCCAGTTTTGTACAATAGGGCATCAAGTCAAGGCAAAGGCTGTTATCCATTGCAATGGGATTGCATTCTGCCTCCCCTAAAAGTGAGCGGAAGGGCTCAGAGTTACTGGGCTGTCAGCATTTGAACATCACTAGTGACTGGATTCTGGATGGCACCAATTTTTATCAACGGCCTGAAGAGTCCTAACCTAATGCTGAATTTCCATAAAAGAACCATGCTTCACAGTCCCCAGTAAAAGGCTCTCCCGTGATCTCCCTGTGACTGCTTTCTCAGCTGGCACAGAAAATTATCTGAGCTATTTCCCTAGCACAGGACTGCKCTCTGCTAAAAGGCAGATTTGGGCCCCTGTTATTACCTGATACAAGTGCAGCCTGGTGCCAATGAGCTTTCAAAAATACACCTCATGCTTCTAAAGCAGTGCTGAGAACACAAAGAACCACAAGCAGAGGGGCTGGAGGTGCAGCAGAACACCTGGAGGAAGCCACAGGTACATTTGGCAGAAAAGTGGCACACACAACCCAAGTCAAATCAGGGAAGTCATCTTCAATGTAAATCCTGGTTTGGAGTAGTGAAAAAAAAAATCCAGAAGGCCAGATGATGCCAAAGAGAAAAAAAAMCAAAAAACAAAAAGAACTTGAAAGTGTCTCCTGTGTTGAACAAGAAATCTATTGTTGACTTAACCCTTAATTACCAAATGTGGCCCCATAATGCAATTTTACAGCTGATTTATGATTATAAACATTTAAACTGTTCTGTTGGGACATGTTGGATTTTCAGTAAGCTGTAAAGCTGGTAATCTCTGCATTATTCCACTGAATTCTTCAGTTATAAATCAAATACTAAAGTTGATCCTGRAGGTTTTTGGCATTATACCAAAGTTTAAGTATGTCAGTACGACATTTTTTTAAAATGCTTTACCACATTAGAAAATATTAATCTATAACACTTTGTTCTGAATAGTACCTTCTTATTTTTCTAGGGTTTGTCCCCGTGGGTTTTTTTAGGTTGGTTTTTTTTTTTTTTTTTTTTTTTTTTTGTGTTTTTTTGCAGTGTTGTTAGTTCCAGGCAGGAATTAAACATTATCCTCCCTGAGAAGTTGGAATTCTATTGCTTTTAAAAAGGAAGCAGTAATTTGCCCTTAGTGACATTATCACAATGCATTTTTTTGAATGCAGTGATAGTTTAACCTGTTTCCCTCTGGAAACCACCACCAGCTCTTTCTCTTTTGGTCATGGTGTTCGAAGAATCTTCAGAAAATAAGTATACTGGATCTGTTCAACTGCTTGTACCCATGTGAATTAGATTCAAGAAATGCAATTTGGATTTTGGGAGTATGGYTTACCTTCACAGAACATGACAGTTTCTTCCATATGCCCTGTGGATCTTTGGAATGGCTTATAAATTTATCCACTACATATTACATAAGGATTAGAAATTGTTTTAAAACAAAACTGTGATATAAATTCTCCCTGATATGCCCCGAAAGGTACTTGAGTCCTACAGGTGGTGTTAGTTGCACTGAAACACTCCCCACACCCCACAGCATTCAGAAAACATGGAGACAGCAACAGAGCAGGATGTAGCTCTGCATGTCAACATTAATTTTCATGTCTGGCATGCACGTTACGTATTTCAATTCACAAAGCATTTAAAAATCTACAGGAGAATTGGCACCCTGCCTTTATATGGTGCCCTTGGTTTACTGGAGACTTAAACATGCATAAACTTTTCTCCTTTTTCCTTTGAGGATGCACAGGAATTTGGTGGTTGTTCAAAACCCTCWCAATGCTTAATAACTTCTTTTCATTTCTGTCATATTTACTGAGGCATCCTTTTGTAAAATACATAGAACGTGCACTCTGCTGAGAAAGTGTCTGAGAAAATAAATCAAACTTTGGTGCTAAACAGAACTTGATTTCTCTTGGCTCTTGTGCTCACCAGAGGGTTTTTGCTCATGGAGATTTTGTTGGAAGGGTAGCTCAGCGGCAGCACTGTCACTGCCTGAGAGGAGCTCTGCTGCTGGCCAGGAGCCCACAGAAAGCAGGGACTGTTTCCCTGTTCCACCAGAGCACAAGCACATGGGGCTCAGGAGTTCTGCTGCAGGGCCTTTTGCACTTTCCAAAGCAGGGATTTCTATTTGCCTGTGTCACCTCCTGAGGCAGAGGAAGGGGCTGCGAACAGAAAGGAGGTGGCAGCTCTTGGACACACAGGGTAAGAGGCTGTTGCTATTTGGGATCTCTGCTGAGATGCATTTGAGGCTAGCTCTCGCTGCCAAGTTGAAAATGAACCCATAAATCTTAACAGGCTCAGAAAACCCTTGATGTTCTTTGCTTTTTGGTTGTCAAGACTCTGAGAAGAAGCTGGAAGCACTGGTAGCAATCTTCCAGGAGATGGGCTGCCTTCCCAAGAGAAGATTTACAGAGTTGCCAAGTTCATTTTAAGATTAAAAAGAAAGAAAAAAAAAGTCAGAAAAGAGAGTCCTCTTCTTTTTTCTATACTCATCCCTTCCCAAACAGTCAGGATGCCACAGACAACTTGTGAGGAGCTAGGGAAACTATACACAAATATTTCACTAAAAAGTCTAGGGTTACCCCTGCAGCAGCTCCTCAGCATAAGAAAGGGGAAAGATTGGGGTCATCCTCTGCACCCCAAGCAGGCCTGGGCAGCTCACAGCCCCTCCCTGCACCTCTCCTTAAATACAGAATTCTCATCTGCAAAACACAGATGACAAGAMTACTGATGTGGTGAGCTGAGGTACCATAAGAATTCATGCCATAAAACAGTCTTTAAAGTAGATAATCTTGCTGGGTATCAACACTTCCATTTGCCAATTATTCTGAGAAGTTTTGATAACATTTCAACTCAGTTCCCATGAGAGCTGGCACAATTAATAAGCAAATATTTGAACTAATCACAAAAACGAAATAGAACATGGCTTCTTAAAAATGTTGGACTGCTAGGGAAGAACAAAGCCTGTACTTCACCAAGTGTGACAGACCTCTGCACTCACTCATGTATAGATCCTACAAGACTGCTGTAGGATCTACCTCCTGTGTACTGGTGGGACTGAGATGCTTTGAACTCTTGAGAAAAAATKAATATTACAGCACCATTAGCATTACTAAGAAGGTGCTATGACTTGCAGTAGATAACACAGGGATTTTTTAATAGTATTTTAGCCACATCCCTTCACCCCCAGCTGGGCTCACTGCCTTGAAATCTTGCAGCAGACTCAGAGGAGCTCTTCAGTGAGATGTGCTGATGTGCTGACTTGGCAAGTGCAGGTCCAACAGACTCTGCAAGTGGAGCAGAGCAGAGAGTGACCACAGCAATTTGTGGGGACAGCACATGCAAGGCAGTGAGCCAGAGGGGACAATGCATCAGGGCTGGCAGGGCTGTGAGAGCAGCTAGGAAATTGGATGATGTGCATCTGCTGATGAATGGTGGCATCAGGACTGGTCAYCATAACCACACTGCCAGCTCCTCCTCTTTCCCTGAGTCAAGCTGTTTCCTCATGTTCCCTTTCTCCTCCCATTCTTTCTTGGCTCAGGATTTCCACAGCACTCTTTATGGAGTGGGCCACAAGTTACAAAACACCTTGCCACGCCAACCCCTCACCTTACACAAAACCCCATGTCCCAGATGCTGCCACCCAAAATTCTTGTTCTGTGCTCCCTTCACTTATCTGCTTCTTCCCTGCTTCTTGCTGTCCCACACACTCATCCTGCTCAAGCCCAGACAGCCTCCTATCTCTTCTCCCTTGCCCCTGCTCTCCAGGCTGAAAGGCTTTTAAAAAGGTTTATTTTGGGKTTTTKTTTGTTTGTTTGTTTGTTTGTTTCAGTACTGCTTGATTTGGGTTTTGTTGTTGCTATTAAAAGCATGACATAGATGGTTCTGGCCTGGCAGAGATGCAATATGCTCAGGCTGTTTTCCCACTGCACCTTAAAGCAAAAGCTGTTTGAGGAAGGAAACAGGCAAAGCTCCATCCATAGGTGCCTGTGCTGACTTCACACAGTTTTCTCTTCACTGAAGATCACAGGGGTWGCTCACAGAAACTCAGCCACCATGTGCTCTCAACTGCCTTAAATCCTACTGTAAAAGCCATGTTCAATTCATCCTTCACCTACTCGTGAATGATGAATTCCCTAGTTTGGGCATTGAAGAGAATTACTAACACCACTGTCTTCATCCAGAAGACAAATGGGCATCAGGACACTTAATGGCAGAAGAAAAACATAAACTAGGAACAGGCTGCAAAACATCCGTCAAACTGGAAAAATAGAAACAGATTCTTTCAAGAAAAGAACAACAACAACAACAAAAAATAAATACAATTAATGAATAGTACGGCTTGAAGAAGCAAGTACCAAATRTCACATATGATAGGGTGAGCCTTGGAAGGGAGCTGCTGTGCTAAGTGAGACTGAAAAAGGTGGCTGCCACCTATCTGCACACTTGCAACACTGAGCAAAGCGGGTCCAGCTATCCTGTGGCTCTCAGCCTGCTGAATTYAGAATCTGTAATTTAATATCTGCAGAGACTCCGAACAACTGAGAAAACTACTAAACAAGAAGCAGCATCAGCTGTAGTAACCAAATGAGCTACAACACTGAACACCAAGTCAAGACAAAGCTAACTTCACCATCTGGTGATTCAGTTTCCAGGTTAGACTTCATTTTACTCCAGGAATTAATTTTCTGCTGACGTTGTCAGGAGGGGACCCATCAGAGACCAGAACTGCCTAAGAGGGCTAAAGAGCAACAGAGGCTTGCCAAGGCGGGGGCAGCAGGAGAAGTGCAGAAGAATGTGATRGCTTTTACTACTTGAAATGGCAAAATGCACTTCATAAATAAAACCACATTCTCCAGCTACAGGGAAACCAAAATCATAAGAAGTGCCATGATGCCCTGGCAAAGGYTGCAGTCTATCCCTCCACCGCTTCAAAAGTGGTGCTAAGGAAATTTTTAGCAGGGAAGCAAACTTGACCATGATTTGTTACTGCCAAAATATACACAGCCATTGGCAGACAATTATAAGTGTTACTCAAAACCATCATCAGAATGAGAAATACTGAGTTCTCCCCACAGGAGGTCCTGTTAGGAAGAAGCTGAAGTGAATACAGAAGCTTGTAAAAATGTTATTTCCAGCAGGGAAACATTCTCAGAGAACTTCAGCATCTGCCTATCCTTTTGTTCATAATGTAATGTATGACATGTGGTGGATTTGGAGCCATGGCTTCACTTACAGAAGCAGATGGAAGATCTTTAAATCTTTAGAGCATCTTCCTTAGGTCATATCTGAACCTTGCAGAAGGTGAAAAAAAACCGTGAATATCAGTTTAAGCTGAAGTCAAATAAACAATATGGGGAAAAGGGGCAAAGAATCCAGGTTCTGCATCAGTAGAAAATTAGAAAAAAAAAGATAGAAAAAAAGTAGAAAATAACCACTCTCCAGTGGTTATTYCTGTTCATCTTCTATGATATTGATAAGCAGCTGGGGATGGTATTTGGGAAACACTGSTTTAGGTCAGCCTCTGCACTTTGCTTTTTGATGTTGTAACATTTGAATTTGTCCACAGCCAAACGGAAACCTCTAGGAAATGTCCAGCAATTGAGATCCCTAAGACACACACCAGTAACACATTTTTAAAAAAAATCACCGTGGCCCAATCCGCCACAAGGTGTCGATGTGGTAGCACTGCAAACAGGATTTGCTGCTCCATGACCGACTTTCCCAAGGCGCTCCCGCCCGCTCGGGTCCATCCCGGCAGCAGCGGTCGCGTTTGGGAGCGGCAGAGGCGCCAGGACGCTGCGCTCCGGGGCTCCGCTCTGCCCAGCGCCGAGACTCCTCCGCCCGGCCAGCGGGGCTGCCAGRGGCTGAAAGGACCCCACGTACCTGCGGGTGGGGCTTGACCACACCGACCGAAGCGATTCTGTGGCCCGCTGCGATCTGAAACRCGAGGCGCTGGTAACCATTCACACACTCCAGCCTGCGGTTGATGTTCCAGCAGCCCT